GGTGATGCAGAGAAAAAGAAACCCCTTAGTGCTGAGAATTAAAATTGAGATAGTTAGATAAAGTGACCACACAAAAGAGCCAAGGGAGGGAGCAGAGAACAGCCTTAGGCGGCCCGAGGCCGCCTTCGTTGGCCCTGCCCACAGGATGTGTGAAGACCTCTGAACAGACAAGCTTAGAGCGGGGTCCTCAAGCTCACAGCTACCCATTGGACGCTCAGTCCTAGGGGACACCAGTGACCAGCAGGAGAGAGTCCACTCATGGCCCTTTACTGATTCAGATATTGTAGTGGCCAAATAATATAAAATTTTAAGTATGAGTTTTATGAGTTACAAGAGAGGAATTTTGAGAAAGCAAAGCAAGAATTTCTTTTGATAACTTTCGAAAGCCTTTCCCACTATCCTTCGGCTTTAATATTCTGACAGCATTACAACCAGTATTACCTGGTAAGGATGGATGACAAATATTGATTTTCCGTGGCCAGCCTAAGTGGGATAGAAAAGAAATGAAAATCTGTGTAAATAGATTCAGGAGTCTTGTTTAGGAAATTATTTGTGTCATTTATTAAATGTAATGTGATATATCCACAACATGACAACAACTAACTATATCAGCACTTACTAGAAAACAGAACTAAAATGTATCTTTGACATTGACAGAATAGTCACAAAAGTCAAGGGCACTGTGACAGTAAGCCAAAGTGACCACAGAATACCAAGGGCGGGTCTAAGGGGAGAGTTCTGTGCAGCTCGAAAATTCCTGTGCTGTTAGGCATCGGGAAACACCTGGCCAAGCCATGGTTTTTTACTTTTCAGAGTCCTCCAAAACTCTGCTTTTCTTTCTGCCAGTATTTAATGCATTATATCTAAATATTTAATACAAACACCAAACACATAGTGTTTGGCTGTTGTTATTTTGCCTAAACAAATGATCCAGTACCCCACCAAAAAATCCCTGTGGGACACTTACTCCCTGTGCCTTTCTCCACAGGAAAATGAGCAATCCAGGAAGGAATTATATCTACAGACCTGTGCTTTTAGGGTAATGAAAGACTAATATATTCAAAGGGAATTCATAAAAATCAAATGAGCATTTGCTATATAACGTTATAGTCAATATTATTTAAAGATACAAAAATTTACATAAGAACTACTTTTCCCTGGCAGTAGTTGCTTTTGTTGAAAATAATATTGCTGCAAACGTGCACGTAAGTCAGGAGAAATATAGAAATGTGTTGTATGCACCACCCTTTGTTGTTGTGTTGAAAGATAATGTGTTAAGCTCTTGATCTAACTAATGTGCAAAGACTCTTCGGAAATAAATCACATGGCTACCATTTACCTTTTCAGCCAGTAGACTAAAAAATGAATGGCAAATTTGATCTCATGTCAACTGGTTTTCTTGCTAAAGTAGGATCCCTAGAATTAGTACTGACATTTATCAAGGTCATCAAATCTTGAACTAAACGCTTCAAAAGGTACATTGATCAAGTCTGTATTCTCAGAGTCTTCACACATTCAACAATTTTCAAGTCAAACTATTTAGTCTGTTATAACTGAGATCAAACCAATGGACAGAAATCCAATGACCTGTCAACTGATTTCAAGGAGATATGTGAAACATCCAAATGTGATCACTAGATTGATAATTAAATCCATTACTTGCTCCTTGATTTACAAAATGGTAATTAAGAGCAATAATGCTGCTTTGAACCCCCTTTCTACACTTATATAAGCTATATATTATACTATTAGGTATTAAATATGTACTAAGTCAAAAATAGCATCTGATCAATATTTTTCAGTTATGACCTACCATAGTACAATTGTGAATGTAATTTTTCGTTTGAATTATCTTAAGTATAGAGCATAATTTGAACATTGTGAAATCTGACCCAAGCTTTCTTACCTTAGTATAATTTCTATTTCTTTTAAATCTCACCCTTCCATATCCGGCAATGTAGGGCTATTTCCCAAACTAGCCTATTTTCAAGTTGTTTAGCTATGTTACAGAAGAAGCTATTAATAATTCATTTTCTTGAATACATTTTGTGAGACTTAAGAGACCCTTGTAAATTCACCTATGAATCTGGCAAGCTACTTCTAGCAAATAAAGGAGCATAAACCAGTAAAAAGACACTACGAACACACAGTATTTAAAAAATTATCTGCAGTAGAGAGTAAGACTATACAATGCATGATTTCCAGGAACTTGAAATATACTTGATAATTTTGATTGTGCCTGAAATAAGGATTCTTTGCTTAGGTTGCATAATCCATTTACTATTCTAATTTGTTGTTAGCATGCTCTTTAATGTCATCTGTGTTTATGCTGAAAGTGCTGCCACTGAAGTGTTTTGCTCCTGTTAATTGATAAAAATTAAATACTTCCCATTATACTATTTTTGAAATATAACATACTTACATACTAAATTCATTTAACTTTAAAAAATGTACTGGCTAAATACTAAACATATTAAAACATGGTTTAACCATGTGGTACTTTATTTGCTACATCGCTAACAGTAAATCAAAGAGACTAAGGTTAATATTACGAAAATAAAGTATTATGTCAAAAACAAGTGACAAAAGAGAAAATAAAGTTAGAAATCTCATCTAAATTTCAATAAAATAGGAAAAATGGAATAGTTTTATGATGATTTTCTTTTCTCACCAAATAACTGAGAGAGAAAATTATAACGAAAGTGTTTTAATTTAAGAAATTGCCTAGGGTAAAATATGATGATAGTTGTAATTTTTATTTCTTATAAAGAAAAATTACAGCCAAGCCAACATGGTTCAGCGGCTGAGCATCAAACTATGATCCAGGAGATTGTGGTTCGATTCTCAGACAGGGCACATGCCCGGTTTCGGGCTCAATCCCCAGCAGGGGATTTCAGGAGGCAGCTGATCAATGACTCTCACCATTGATGCTTCTGTTTCTCTTTCTCCCTCTCCCTTCCTCTCTCTGAAACCAATAAAAAATATATTTAAAAAAAAAGAAAATTTACATAAAATAAATTTTTATTTCCAAAATAGTAAAAGACTTTTAATAAAACAAAAAGTACATATATGATACAAATTTACAATAATTCCTATTAAGTTTCAAATATATTACCTTAATAACATAAAATGGTTTTTAGGTGATGTTTAATAATATTAAACCACTTTTAGGTTGTTGCAGTGTGTAATTTTTTATATATTAGATAGATTACAAAGGTAAAGAAATGACTACATTAATGAAACATGGCCTGAAGTTAAAAAAATTCTCAATCTAATATGCCTCCACTCCAGCTCTCTCGCTCTCTCTCTCTTTCCTGTAGTCTCTGCAGTAAAAAACTACCATAGCTATCTCAGGGAGACAGCTCATGCAGGCGTCTGCCAGTGGATGATAGCAAATGCTGATTGAGAAAGGGTTTATCTACATTTCATCCAAAATATGTGAACCATTAAGGAAATTATAAAAAAGCAACAACAATACACTCTGGTTTTATTCAGAACCTTTCCCTTAGAGATTATTAAAAGGATGATATTTTTAGCCAAAGAAAGCAAAATGCATCTGCAGCAGCTGGTTTCCAAGGAAACAGAATAATTTAAAACCATGTGGAACTCTGCTCTCTAATTTTCATCAATTCCCCTTCATTCCTGGAGGTAGCTTTACTTGGAATTTATAATTTCCAAAAAATATAACTGCCTTGGCTTATTTTCTCTAACACATATCAGGCAATGAATATCTACCTAGTCTTATATGTCACCTTAAATTCCAACCTAGGGGCAGATTAATTTTTACCATCATTTTGTTTTAAAAGCCAAGATCAAAAGAATCAATAATGAGAAACATGGCAATATCTCAGTAGCATACAATAATTTTTGAAATCCAGAAATAGTTCAACATAAACCATGCAAGAATATTTGCATGGGTCAAAATGACACTTAAGCATGTAAACATATTACTCTCTATATTTAGTACATTTAGGAAATTTAAGATAGTTCTCCATTCATTTAGGTAATTCTTATCCAATATTCAGTAGTTTTTTCTCCCTCTCCCTCCTATTTTAAATTCTGCAAGAAATGTTATGTTTTTGTCCGCTACTTAAAGACAAAACCCATCTCTCAAATTACAGAAAGGCAAAATAGGAACCCCTCCCCCAAAACTTAGAAATGATTTATTTTCATTTCTATTAGTTTGTGATTCATTCAAAAGAAGTACTTAAAAAACTATATGAACAAAGCAATTACATCATTGAAGGACTGTTATTTTGTTGTTATAATCAACAAGTATTAATTGCCAATGTGCCCATGCCAGTAATAATCTTTCTTAAAAGAAGCTCAGTTTTAAAAAGGTTACCCCACCTTATAGACCTATATTTATGAATTAAGAAAATAAAATGACTTGGAGTAAAATTTTTCAATGTCTTTACTGTGTGTCAGTCTATATATTTAGAACTCTTCTATTTTTCCTAAGTGGAAAAGAAATTTTTTTAAAAAAAGACAACATTAACAGATATAAGCCACTGGTAAAGTAAAATCTTAACTTTTGAGCTTTAAAAAAAAAAAAAAAAAATTGTCTAGAAATATTCCCAACAATATAAATGTTGTGATGAAATTCTTATCTAGGTATATTTGATTGATAAATGAAACTAGCAATGAAACTGGCCTATTAAGGTGCAGTTTTTGCGGCAATGTTTAATCTTCCACAAATAGGTTTCTGTGCTTTTAAAATGAAAACAGTGCCATGCATGCTGAACAAATATAGACAGTTGTACATGTATCATATAAGCTTACAATTTACTAAGTAAAATGATGCAAGGACTCCATAGCATAAGATTTATCAAAAAAGAAGGTTAAAAGGGTTTCAATGCACATAAATCACTGGTCTACAACCAGCAAAAAATTATTTTCCTAAACCACCTACTGCAGTGTAAGCATCAGAAGACACCACATGAACGTGCACCCTGCAGATCTGGGGAAAGCTCCATTTTCCCAGGACCTGTGGAATTTACCGAGCTCTCCTTCGATTCCCAATAGCATAAGCCGAGTGAAAGCCCAGAAGGCACGGGGCTCGTCGGATCGATTCATTCCGCCGCGGTCAGCCCCGCTCAGAAGCCCCGGGCGGAGACCCGCCCCGGAGT